ACAAGAGAGAGAGAGAGAGAGAGAGAGAGAGAGAGAGAGAGAGAGAGAGAGAGAGAGAGAGAGAGAGAGAGAGAGAGTTGATGCTGAGGCCTGGTGACTTTCGGGCATTGCCCGATTCAGTGACATTGTGACTTGACATTGTATGAGCAGCGACATTGGGGATACATTGGAGACTGGGTTCATCAGGCTATGGTGGCTGATCCTCCCTATCTCCTCCCCCCCGTCGTCTCTTCTCCCCCATCTTCGTCCGTGCTTGTATGGGACTCAGCGCACCATCTATGCTTGCTGCGCTGAGTCCACTTCCGCCGTGTGATGATGGTTGCGGTCAGAGTCTGTCATTGTTCATGCTGAGTCAGATCTTGGCATTTCAGTCTTCCGCTGTTTTATGATCCTGGCCAATTTCGAAGTGCACGTTCATCAGATAGTACAATGCCGTCCAATTGCAGAAAGAAATGAATGAACTTGAGAGGAGAGAGAGGGTAAGAAGAAGAAGAAGAAGAAGAAAGAAAGAAGAGGAAGATGATGTACACCAGCATAGACAAATGACGAAGCTCTTCTTCTTTGCCAAACACTCTCTTCCTCCTTTACTCCTCCTCTCTTATTCATACAAGAAATAATAGTACACTGTTGAATCGCTGATCCAGAATCAATGTCCGAGTTCCTCTTCTACTGCAGGTATCACTTGAGGTCCACCATAGCCATGGCCGCCTCCCTCACTCTTCACTCTCATAGGCCGAGGCTATGGCGGACTACTGGGCCTTGCCCTGATGCCCAAAGGACAACCCAAAGCAGCTATGGCTGCTCTAGCTCAGGCCGCCATGCCTGCCTCTGCCTCAAAGCTTCTTGGTGTAGCTCTACCCCAGCTGGGGTCTTCCTCCTGCAGCGCCCACCAAGGTGATGAAGATGGCTGCCACCTTAGCCAGGTAAGTACCTCTGGCGCTCCCCCTTCCTCCTGTCCTTCTTCCTCCTCCGTGTCCTTGCCCCTTTCCCAGCAGCGCTGCTCTTGCTAGCTCTGCTCCAGCCAGCGCTCCAACCGGTGTGTCGCCAAGTTTGCACACCGACAATGAGGCTGGGCTCTTCACCCGGCCTGGAGAGATAGCGGCCTGCTTGCCTCTTGGGCGGTGACTTCCAGGCTGCTCGGCCTTCCCAGCAACCGGTACCTCCTCCCTTTCGGAGGGAAACATCATTGCAGACTCTGATATTGCCCGTACAGGCCCTAGACTCAGACTGGTTGGACTGGTACAACTACTGGGCCTCTCAAAATGCCACTTTTGTCTTCTTCTGCTTGGCCTCCAGTAGCCGCACATCTACCTCTTCAGGGTGCGGTACTGGACTACCTGCTAGTTGAGTGTTTTCCCCCACTGCAATCCTCAATGTCACGGCCACAGGTAAGTACCGGCCCTGAGGGCTCAACGAACGAACAAGTGCCCTTGTGGGTCACACACACGCTCAAGCCAACCAGCACTCAGACAGACATGCAGTCCAGCAAGCGTGCACACACATACAGTCATGCGGAACTTAGTAGCAAGTGGGAAACTCAGCAAGGCATTCAGTCCGTGAGCAAAACTCAGAAATCAACTGTGTCTCAGTCCGTGTTTGGTTGGGTCATCACAGCTGTGCTATTTTTGTATTGTCTCTGAGAGGTCGGTTCTTGGTTCTGATCGATGCGATTAGGCATGCGACAGTTTGGTAACGGAGCAGATCTCACAGATGAGGATCTGCTCAGATAAAGTTGTCATCGTTATCGATTGATTGATTGATTGATTGATTTGTTGATTGATTGCATACATGTGAAATGGTTTCACCCAGTAGACCTGACATTTGCAGACACAGAGATTCGATCCCTAGACCTGTGCCCAAACCCTGTACATTGACCCTGTGTGCTGAGTGAGATTCGATCCCTAGACCTACCCTGTACCTTGTACATTGACCCTGTGTGCTGAGTGAGATTCGATCCCTAGACCTACCCTGTACCCTGTACATAGGCCCAGCGATCTGTATGAGACTTGATCCCTAGGTCTGTAGATTAGGAGTTAGGTCTGTTACCGTTAGGCTTAGGAAGGTGTGTTCTAGAGTCTCTATCTGACTCTACTGAGGCCTAGAGTCTGTTTGAAAGTCTGTAGGCTCTAGAAGGTTGTAGGTCCATGTAGGCCAGTCCAGTCAGCAAGTGCCAGGGGTAGGGGCTGCATGTGGGGAAGGTTCTGGACCATGCTGTGGGTTCCACACGTTTTGGCCAGAAGGCCAAACGTCTGGAAGCTTCCTTGGGTCACACATTTTGGCCCAGGCCCACACGTTTTGAGGCAGGGCCCGGGTACCTCTGAAGAAGTATAAATAAAGAGGCAGCGTCCAGCCATTCATTCATTCGCCTGTGTGCCATGCGGAAGAGCTGCCTTGGTAACTTGTGCGTGGAGGGCTGCAGGTGCTCGGAGAAGAAGTGGGCTGTGAAGAAGACAGCGGCCATAGCGAACCAGTGGGAGAGACACAGGCGGCCATAGCTAGGGCTGNAGCTAGGGCTGCAGGTGCTCGGAGAAGAAGTGGGCTGTGAAGAAGACAGCGGCCATAGCGAACCAGTGGGAGAGACACAGGCGGCCATAGCTAGGAGGAGGAAGACGACGGCGGCCGTAGCCGCCAGCTGTTGGTGTAGATAGGGTGTACAGAGTGTGTGTGTCTGTGCAGCGTGGACATTCAGGGTGATCCTCGTACGTGCGTGCATGTGAGAGTGAGGGAGAGTGTGGCTGGTGGTAGAGACGTTGTTCGGCGGCCGTAGCCGCAAGTTGTACAGTTGTTCTGAACAGAGTTTAAGACCAAGTTCGTTGTTGATTCTGAGTTGACGACTTTGGTTTGCCATCGGCTCTCATGTATGCATGTTGTAAGCAAGTGCAGAGTCGAGTCTGATTGCACATGTGGCGCATCGACATGCGCTGCACCACGCACGACGCGCGCAGACTGGGTACGGTGCACCCCGAAAATAAGGGGTCGAGGAAGAAAAAAAAAGTTGGGGAGGGGTGTTTTAGGCCCGAGTGGGATGTCGCGTCAAGACCCACAAAAAAATAAAAACAAAAATTTTGCAGTAACCCTGTTCAGAAGTGGCCTGGGGCCCAGAACTCAGCCCCAGGCAACGCAGACCTGAGTCGGTCTGCACTGGGCTGTGTGACTGTGTGACCAAGACACGCCCAGGCCTGAGTCTGCTGTGTTTGGCTGTGTGACCAAACGCTGCACACTGGAAATTCAAGGGTCAAAGTCAACTGTAGAGTCAAAGGTACCGCGCCCAGGCCCTTGGTTGGATACACTCACTTGTTGTGCACAGGTACCCAGACAGCATCCGGTTCGGAGAGAATTCGGTTTCAGACCAATCTGGGCCCTCGTTTGCATTGAGATCTGGACGGCTGAGGGATGCAGCATCCGGGGTCCAGACCCTGCGTCAACGCTACATAAGCGCTGACTTCCTGGCTTTGACATTCATTCAGTCTTGCGTCAATGCTGACTTCACGCATTGACGACGCGACGCTGGCTCGACGCTGCGATGCTGGCGGACGCTGG